GTACTAGTGCATGTATATGTGGTTAAATTGGACATTAAAATTTTGCAGAATGAACTTTAGAAAATTTTGAAGACAACTAAGGCAGCTTTTTAGCTAATGCGATAAACACATAAATTGTTATACTAACCTTTGGGTACTTGTCATTTTAATAGAGGAAGACAGACTTCCAATCAGAGAGAGAGAGAGAGAGAGAAGGTTCTGTGCTTTCTTTCTTTGCTTTCTGGTTGCTCTGTCTGCTGGTGTTAGTGTTGTGTGTTTTTCATGTGAATTGTGTGTCTCAAAGAAATGTTTAAATATTTTAACACTTCAAGTGAAGACTTAAACCATTAAATATTAATTGCACATTAACTGTTTTCTTTTTCTCCCTCCTCCTACTCTCCCTCCCTTTCTCTCTCTCTCTCTCTCTCTCTCTCTCTCTTTCTCTTTCTCTCTGTAGCCGTTTGAAGATCGTAAGAAGTGGTTTTATGAAAACCTTTATGATGGAGCTGAACCAAACCAGCAACTAACCCTGGTACCACAAGAAAATGAAATAATTGTAGACAGGGGTATAGTAATGTCATACATGTACATGCACATGTATATGTATACGTATATGTACATACACATTTATCGTATGCTTTCTTTTAGAGAATATTTTCACAACTTCTTGTTCAAAGATATCAGAAGCATCGGTGGATCAACTCAAGTTATCTCTTGCTATACGTTTTGAAGGAGAAGCAGGAATGGTATGGTAGCCAATTTTTATCCAAAAAATGACAAGGAGGAAACTCTCCATTGTTATTATTAAATGTATATATGTATAAATATGATTATTTAATTGTGTTATGTTTAGTATGAAGTAATATTAATTCTTTCTCTTCCCCCCCTAGGGTGCTGGTGTTCATAGGGAATGGTTCAATGACCTCTCAAGTGAAATATTGAATCCAGACTATGCACTCTTCACACAATCTGCTGATGGTAATTAACAAATTGAATTTTAAATCTACGTGTACATGTACATGCATTTTCTCTCTTTTCCCCCTCTCTTTCTCACTCTTAGGTGCTACGTTTCAGCCCAACAGTCATTCTGATGTTAACCCTGATCACTTAAGCTATTTCAAGTTTGCCGGTCGGACCATGTCCCTAGCCCTTTACCACAGACAACTGCTCAATGTCTACTTCACCCGCTCATTCTACAAGCATATACTAGGTGGGCGTGGGCGTGGTTTGTTGTTTATTGACCACACCTACTTGTGGGCGTGGTTTTGTGTTGCATATAGGTATTCCTGTTAGCTATAGAGATGTGGAGTCTATTGATCCGGAATATGCTAAAAATTTACAAGTAAGAGAAAAGACGAGTTTTATAATTATTTTGTTTGCTGTTTATTGTTTTTGTTTGTTATTTATTATTATTGTTGTTGTTTATTGTTTATTAGTGGTTACTGGATAACAAGATTGACGAGATGGACCTTGGTTTGACGTTCCTTTTAGAAACTGATGTTTTTGGCACAACGGAAATAATTGAACTGAGACAAAATGGAAAAGACATTCTAGTCACTGACAGCAATAAAGTAATAAATAAAATAGCAGATAAAATTATAATAAATTTTTTATGATAATCAGTAAATTTTTGATATAATTTTGCAAGGTAATCTGTCAATTTTTTCTTCCATAGAAAGAGTATGTCCAGTTAGTTACTGAAATGAGAATGACTCAAGCAATTGGCCACCAAATAAACGCATTCACTGAAGGATTCTATGAGATAATACCTCACCATTTAATATCATTATTTGATGAATATGAACTGGTAGGTAACAGTATCTAATTAATCTTTGATTAGTAGGGGCTGCTCCATTCATAGGAGCTACTGTTGTCTGGTCTACCTGATATTGATGTTAAGGACTGGATTAAGAACACTGATTATAATGGGTACAGTGAGGAACACCCTGTAATTAAGGTAATAATAATTATTAACTTTATAATTACAGTTTATATATTTTTTTATTTTTAGTGGTTCTGGGAGGTTGTTGAAATGATGGATAAAAAGACTTTAGCTATTTTATTGCAGTTTGTGACCGGAAGGTAAAATATTTTTATTGGGAAGTTCTTGTTGAATTTTATTGTCACGAAATCTGTGACAAGTAAAAACCCATTAGTTCCATTGTCACAAAATCCATGACAAACAAAAACCCATTAGTTCCATTGTCACAAAATCCATGACAAACAAAAACCCATTAGTTCCATTGTCACAAAATCCATGACAAACAAAAACCCATTAGTTCCATTGTCACAAAATCCATGACAAACAAAAACCCATTAGTTCCATTGTCACAAAATCCATGACAAGCAAAAACCCATTAGTTCCATTGTCATGAAATTCGTGACAAGCAAAACCCATTAGTTCCATTGTCACAAAATCCATGACAAACAAAAACCCATTAGTTCCATTGTCACAAAATCCATGACAAGCAAAAACCCATTAGTTCCATTGTCATGAAATTCGTGACAAGCAAAACCCATTAGTTCCATTGTCACGAAATCTGTGACAAGCAAAAAACCCATTAGTTCCATTGTCACAAAATCCGTGACAAGCAAAAACCCATTAGTTCCATTGTCACGAAATCTGTGACAAGCAAAAAACCCATTAGTTCCATTGTCACAAAATCCATGACAAGCAGAAAATCCATTTGTTCCCTTATCACGAAATCTGTGGCAAGCAAAAAAACCCATTAGTTCTATTGTCACGAAATCCATGACGAGCAAAAACCCATTAGTTCCATTGTCACGAAATCTGTGACAAGCAAAAACTATTAGTTCCATTGTCACAAAATCCATGACAGGCAAAAAACCCATCATTATTTTTTCCAATAGTTCAAGGGTTCCCCTTGGTGGTTTTGCTAATCTTGTTGGTGCCTCTGGTCTTACAAAGTTCACAATATCTCAATTGAATTATGAACCTAACAGACTACCAATGGCAAGCACTTGGTAAGCAAGCAGTGAAAATAATCATTAAAAATATAAAAATTGTGAAATGAATTATAAGTAACATATACAATAATTTATTCTAATTTTACTACCATTTTCTTTTCACTGTCTCTGATAGCTCCCTAGTTAAAGTTTCAGTTTTGCTAAAAGTCCCCGGTTCTATTCCCACTTTCCTCTTCTTTTTTCTTTTTTTTTTGCTTTGAGTTTTTAAAGTCATTCTGCCTACGAAATCCTTACCTTCCTATTTTAGTTGCTTCTCTTTATTGACAAGGCTGCATGCAGTGTTAATGCATGTACTTGTATACATACACATACATGTACGTGCATCTACATGTACATGTATTTTCATGTTTTTATACATGCATGATGTATATGTACATACTTATTTTTTCTAGTTTTAATTTATTGAAATTGCCCGAGTACCCAAATAAGGACATTCTTAAGGAAAGGCTCAACTTTGCACTAACTTGTGGGACAAGTCTCATTGACATCACATGACATCGTATGACATCATATGACATCATAGTAGTGCAATAATTAATTACAATAGTAGCATTTATCGTGTGATTTTAATTCATTTTATTTTTTTATAATGTGATGCATCTGTGAAATAATTAATTTTTTAATAATCATAAATAATAATAATAATAATAATAAACAAATTTTGAACAAAAATTAACGACGATTATTTCCAAAGTTTAATGATGCCAGCAGCCAACCTGCCCCTCCTCCTCTTGATGCCTCCTTCTAATGGACAGAATTCTATTGCTACTAATGGATATGAATCGTCTCTGCCCGTTGACCCACTCCCTCCTCCTCCTCCTCCTCTTGATGCTGTTTTTAACTCTCTTAAAGCTTTGACTCCTTCTATGACTTGAGAACTAAAAAGTAGAATGCACAATTAATAACGAGGACAAATTATAAAAATGGAGAAATCTGCCTATAACCACTTTTGGCAAAATTTGCTAAAGTCCCTGTACTATATAGTACACTACAGGGATTTTGGCCTAATTTTTTAGCAACTTTAAAAATTCATAAAAAATCCAGATTCGATTGGAATCACCTGAAACTTTCTACACAGCACAAGTTTATGATATGCATCAGAAAACGTTATTTTTAAAAAAATGATAACTCTCTATTTTACAATTTTGGCAAAATTTGGCCAATGCCCTTGTACAGTATAGGGGCCTAGCTTTGTCAATTTTGGAGAAATTATGTTGATCAAAATCAGTTCTACTTGCATATGTACAGTTTATGATGTACCTATAAAATATGTCAATTTTCTCAGATCCAACCCCAGCCTTCACTATACAGCTGGACTCCGAAGGATTATTGAGATGCCTGATGAACTTGTCAGTGCCTCCAGTCACTAATCTCAACCTTAGCTAGACTGATTGAGAGAAAGAGAGAGGTGAAAACAATTAAAAAATTGATCTAAATTATTATTATTATTTTATTACATGCATTATTATTTTAGGGAAATTTGGAACCCATACAAGAGCTCCTTACTAAATACAGCCACTGTTTCTAGTGGGGGCTAATAAAACAGAAAAATAGCTACAATGCATTAAAGCTAAAACGAATAATAGCGTATAGCTATAGTATTATCACAATAAAAATAGATTTTTATGCTCAGCAGGTGCTAATAAAAGCTATGACCTTAAATAGAGGGGGAATCCGGATTAATTCTCACTACAAGGCAGTCCTAATCCGCCAGGAGTGACCAAAAGAGGCTGGCAGTGGATATATAATGGAAGCCCATTAGGTCAAACACACATACACACCTGCTATACACCAGCTGGTAATATTATTATAGAGATACATCTCTTGCATATGTAGTGTATTGTGTGTGGTTGCTGTTAAGTCAAAATTACTGCATTGGAACATGATCTCTTATATTAATTGTAGACTACACGCACATCTACATATACATGTACAATTTACATGTATGACCTAAAC